TTCCTCTCATTTCATTTCCACCTCACCCAAATTTTTTCATAAATGTGTTGTTTGCCTTTTAGCCTATATGCCATTTCCTCATAAATTTTAGTAGTAGAGATCTTTTCTCTTATTATACTTAATGATGGTACCTGTTTTGTTTTCCATAAACTGGCTATAGCATTTTTTGTAGCCATCAAAATATGTATAATTAACACTTTTTCTTGTGACAATATTCTCTCTGGCATAATGTGTAGTAGGAATATTTCTGGTTGCAGGGGTATCAATATGTTTGTAACTTTAAAAATTAATTGTTGTATGTGTTTCCATACATCAATATTTTTTTTACACTGCCAAAATATATGAGTCATAGATCCTTCCATTTCCCCACATCTCCAACATGTCCCCACATTCTCTGGATATATTTGCGCCAGTTTTTGTGGCGTCATGTACCACCGTAGCCACATTTTGTATGTTGCTTCTATGTGTTGTATATTATGTGTGGCAGCCTTAGTTGATCTCATAGCCCTATACCATTTAAAGGGCTCCCACTCATGTTTAGCTCCTTCTCCCAATTTAACATGAAAGGCAATTTATCTGGTTTTGTTAAATTTAATATTCCTCTGTAGCTTATTGATAGAGGTTTATCTTGGGGTCGACTCCCCAAGCATAGCCTTCCAAAGTCATTCACCCTAGAATTTTCCACCTCCTTCACTTGAAGTTTCATTAAAATGTGTTTCACTCTGAGATATGTATAGAGTTCTCTGTTGTGAAGATCGTATTTAATTTGTATATCTGGGAATTGATGTATAGCTGAGCCTGCTATTAGATGACGCGTTTTTGTTAATCCTTTCTTTCTCCATGTTGTTATATTTAAATCTTTTGTGTAATAAGTTAAACTTTGCAGAGTTCCATAGTAAAGATAATTGCCTTTCCCCAGAAGTTTAGGGGCCCAGTAGCTCCACAACCTCAGAGCTATTTGTGTTGTGGATAAGAAATTATAATTTCTAAGATGAGCGCGATGTGTTGTCCATATGAGATCCAATATCTCATATTGTGGGACAATGGATTGTTCTAATACATGCCATAGGGGTATACTAGATGTATCTATTAGTGCTACTGTTTGTGCCAGTATGGAAGCTATATAATATTTTTGAATGTGCGGTACTCCCATACCACCCTCTGTCATTTTGCAACTCATTGTATTCAGTGATATTCTTGGGGGTTTGCGTTTCCAAATATGAGCATTTATTGTTTTTTGAAAATTTGTTATAATTGATTTGGGGATCATTATTGGTATGGATCTAAAAAGAAATAAAATCTGTGGTACTATACACATTTTAACAGAATTGATCCGTCCCACCCATGATCTGGTGCTCTTGTCCCAGTGTTTTAGTGTATCTTGTACTTCTCTTAATAATTTGCTATGGTTATTTTTTATCATTTCCTGTTTTGAAACTGAAAGATGAATACCAAGATATTTTATAGATTTATTTCTCCATTCAAATGGGTATTCATCTTTCAGCTTTCGAATAGTTGACTCTTGCATATTAATAGGTAAAGCTTGAGTTTTAGTAATATTATTTTTATAATATGACACTGTACCATATTCCTTCAATAAATCCATCAGCGGCATTATTGTTTTATCTGGATTTGTTAGTATTATCAGGACATCGTCCGCAAATAAAGCCACTTTTTGAGGTCCTATGTGAGTATTTAACCCTGTTATTTGAACTTGTTTATTTATCTTATATACTAGGGGTTCAAGGGTCATAATGAAAATCAATGGAGAGAGGGGACATCCCTGTCTTGTTCCATTAGATAGGTGCAATTTACGAGACATAAAACCTGAATTAATAACTCTAGCCGTTGGATTTGTATATAATGAGAGCATGCCTTGTTTAAATTTGTTTGGGAGTTGAAATTTATCTAGCACCTTCTCCATGTATTGCCAATGTAGGCGATCAAACGCCTTTTCCGCGTCAAGTGCCAGCAATAATCCCTCAGTTTTCTGTCTTTTCATTATTTCCAGTATATCTATAAATCTACGGGTATTATCCCCCACCTGTCTGCCTGGCACAAAGCCTGCTTGTTCTGCCCCTATCAATTTGGGCAGTAGTGGTTTCAGTCTTAGTGCCATTGCTTTTGCAAATAATTTTATGTCTACATTAAGTAATGATATAGGTCTTAGATTAACGCAGCTGGTCGGTGGCTTTCCTGGTTTTGGTAGTGTTATTATAATAGCTTCCAACATTTCCGGGTGTACCTCACCTGAATCTAAAATGCTGTTAAAAAGTATTGTTAGATTTGGGATCAGTTCCTTTGCAAATTTAAAATAATAATAATTAGAAAACCCGTCTGGGCCTGGTGCTTTATGTTTTGAAGTTGTTTTTATAGCTTCCCAGACCTCCTCCTCTGTAAAAGGTTTGTTCAAGATCTCCGCCTCTTCCCGAGTCACGCAGGGTAGTTCAACATCTCTTAGAAAAGTGGAAATCATATTTAATGTAGGTTGGGTTGTATTTGAATCCTCCTTCAAATTATATAGATATTCATAATATAATGCTAACTCATTAACAATTTGATTTGGATCTATCAGTTTTGCACCTTTTAGGTTTACTAAATATGGAATTTTTGATTGTGTTAGCTTCTGTTTAATTTGAGATGCCAATAATTTGCCCGCTTTGTTACCCTGTGTATAATATTTAAATTTGGATTTTCTCAAATTACGTTCCGTTACCTTCAATTCAAAATTTTCTAATTGTTTTTTAAGTTTAAAAAGTTTATTTCGTAGACAATTATTTAAAGTTTGTTTATATTGTTTCTCTATTTCTCCTATAGATTTAAAGAGTTTTTCCTTTTCCTCCCCAAATTTTCGTTTTGCAATTGCACCTTGTTTTATAAGTATTCCCCTCACTGTAGCCTTATGAGCTAACCATGTAACTGCTATAGATGTATCATGATTAGTGTTTTCTTTGAAAAACTGATTGATTGTATTCCTAATCTCTATTTCTCCCATTTTATTATCTAGTAATGCTTCGTTCAAGCGCCATGAACCCTTGCCTCTTGCCTGATATGCAGTGTCAAATATGGAACATACTGGGCCGTGGTCTGACCATGTTATTGGATCTATGGTTACCTTTACTAGAGACTGGAGTGTAGATGCATCTGTCAAACACATATCTATCCTTGAGTAATTTAAATGTGCCGCTGAATAAAACGTATAATCTCTAAATTGAGGGTATTTAGCCCTCCAAGTATCATATAAACTGTGAGTTATCATTAATTTTGCTAATCTGGCACTTAAAGCAGCCTTTCTCATGGTTGGTGTCTCATCTCCTGAAACATCAAACTCTGGATCCAACGTGCAGTTATAATCACCACACATAAATAATTTGCCTTGTTTATATTTCTCAATGCGTCTTATCGCTTTCTGTAAAAAAGCTTATTTGATTATTATTTGGTGTATATATGTTTGCTATTGTTACTTTTTCCTCACCTAAGGAACCCACCAGAATAAGTAATCTGCCTTCCTTATCTTTATATTCGCTATCACATTTAAATGGCCAGTCTACATGAAACAGCGTACTCACTCCCTTTGTTTTATTTTGGGCATATGCATGATAACTAAGCGGATATCTAGACGAGGTAAGAGCTGGGGGTCTCTGAGTACTAAAATGTGTTTCCTGCAAACACGCAACTGCCGCCTGTGATTTATGCAGTTGCTGGAACAACAATCTCCTTTTATGGGGCGTATTAAGGCCATTCACATTAAATGTTAGGATATTAAAGTAGTGAGCCATATTTTAACACTATTAGACCTCATTCCTAACTCTATTGTTCTCTATAATCTTTATATTTACTCTGTTTAACCATAAGAGATCCTGTAATTTAGTTTTGATCTTATTTGCATACATAATTAAGAAATTACTGATATAGAAAAGTCTCATATGTTCATAGGTACCTGAAGCAAAACAACAACAACAAAAATCTATATATTAAAAAAAAAAAGAAAAAGTTAGACAAATCGTCTTAATCTTGCAGGTCTGCCCTGCAACATAAAGCATTGGTGGTTAATTACCCCCCTTAGGGTATTGCCACCAAATTGAGGGGGTGATTGAAAATGAAAATGCGGGTCACAAGCCATATCTTGCTTATATATTTATATACCACTGCCTGGTTTTTTAAGCATAATTACAACAACAACAAAAAAAATAATAATATATATATATAATTTTATCTTTCCCTTAAATTCTCCTCCCCTTCTCTCCTCCTCCACCTCCTCTTGGGATGGGATCAGAGGGATCTGAGCAGTCAGAGGAATCAAGGGGGGGGGGGGGTAGAGGGAAGGAGGATGAAGAGGAAAAACCTACATACAAAAATAAATAAAATAATATATCCTCACACACACACACATATATATATATATACATATATATACATATATATACATATACACATATATACATACATACATACATACATATACACATACACATACGCATACATACACACATATACATATATACATACATACACACATATACACACACATATATACATATATATATACACATACATACACACATGCATACACAAATCCCCTCCTCTCCAACAGCCCTCCCCTCCATCCCACCGACCCAACTTTGAAAGAGTAAATCATTAAGTATAGTAGAATACAATACAATGGAGTCTTGCTAACTCCTATCCTCCTTTTTATCTTCCGAGCTTCTAAAGCCTTCCCTTGCCACCATTTTACATTGTATACAATTTTTCATCAAGACTGTTTTATCTCAATTAAATTCAATCTTTTATATATTTTTCAGTTCAAGCATAAATTAATAAGCTGTCTCCACTTCTATTCTTTGCATTATATGATCAGCTATTTTCCCTTACGTACTGCCGTCCATTCTGGTAGCATTTCTCTCACATGTGAACTGTCCACCTTTTCTGAAGGAGTTCCTATTAGACCCCATTTATGTAATATTTGTAGTCCTTCTTCAGGGTCTTCTATCTTAGTCATCGATTCGTTTCTCCAAATCAGCAATTTAGTTGGGAATCCCCATCTATAATTCACGTTGTTATCTCTTAAATATTTAGTAACTCTTTGAAAATCTCTTCTTCTTGCTATAGTCATGGCAGATAAGTCCGCAAACAGTGAGATATGCGTGAATGCTGGCGGCATTGTTGTAACCCTTCTTTGGGTGGATAAGATCATCTCTTTTGTACTGAAATAATGTAGCCTCACCACAATGTCTCTGGGAACTTCAGTAGTTAAAATTTTAGGCTTTGGTACCCTATGTGATCTATCAAACCGCAAATCTTCTGTAGTAAGAGTGGGAGCTATTGCCTTGAACAATTCGACTAAATAAGGTGGTATATCTAGCCCCTGAACTGTTTCAGGCACACCCCTAACGCGGATATTATTGCGTCTGGACCTATCCTCTATATCCGCCATTTTTCCCTGGAGTTTTTGAAAGTCCTCTTCCATTTTAATAAATTTTTCCCTCATTTTGTTGTTGTTCTCGCAGATCTCGTCCATTTTTTCTTCCAGAGCGGATGTCCTTGTTCCCAACTCATGGACTTCCTTTCGTATTTCTTCCGATATTTTTCTAAAATCTAGCTGTAATGATGTTCTCAGGGTGGAGAGCATGTCTGCCAATCTTTTTTCTGACAAGGAGAGATCTTCTACATTTTCTCCTAAGATTTGTGTAGAATCTGTATCAGAGCCTGCTTCAGAGTGATATGAGGGAGATCTCGCACTGCCTCCTGCACCCCGCTCTGTTCTTCCTCTGTCTTTCTTATTTGTTTTAAAGAACTCATGTTGTCTTTGTGCCTTCGGCGGCGCCATCTGGTGTCCGTGTAGGTAGTGCTGAGAGACTGTATTAAATTTTATAAGTTGATACAGTGTTGAGGTGCTAAAAAAGGGGGAGGAGATATATTTGACTTTTTTTTTTTCCCTCTTCCTTTCCCTTCTTTCTTTCTCTTTCCTCTTTCTTCTCCTTTTCTTGTTCTTGATATCTTGTACTGCTTCAATATAATATGTACTTCTAATTTAATAAATTTAATTCACTGTTCACTCCTCTCCTCAATCTCTTCACATCCCCTCAGAGAGTTTTTTTTTTTTCCTTTTTTTTCTTCAAATAATTTTATGTTGCTCAATCTCTGCTCTGTCTCCTTTATATCACTTTATCATTGCTTCAGCTGCAATTTGGATCGCCTTTTAGCTCACTTATTTATTTGCTTTAAATCTTTCCCACAGTCTTAAAACAATTTGGAGCAATTTACAAATCTTTGCAATGCCTTGCAACGTTCAGAGGCGCTTATTAACCATTTAAAGCACTTGCAGCCTAATATATAGCACTTTAGAGCTCTTAAATCCTTCCTGTTGCTTTAAAAATTCTTTGAGTTTACTTAGAGGCAATTTGAAATGCTTTGTATCTCTTTATCTCTTTAGATCAATTTGTATCACTTGTATCACTCTGCGTCTCTTTGCCTCTCTTTGTATCGTTTATTTTTTACTCTGTGCCGCTTTAGTTCATTTTATATACTTTGTTTTACTCTGAGTCATCTATTTCGCCTTTGGGCCTCTTTAGATCATTTGTTATCCCACTGAAGCATTTTAAGGCAAAAAAATAAATAAATAAATATTGAACTACTTGCTTGCTTTAATTATTTGCCTTACTTTGGGCACTTAGCCTTAAATGAAACACTGCTATGTATCAGTCTCCTGCTCCTGCTCCCTTCTCTTTTACCCTCCTCAAAGTGATTCTGGGATAGCTCTCCGTTACCTTGAATAATCAGGCTGTCAGGCTGTCAGGCTGTAATCAGGCTGTGGCACGAGCTTAAGCAGAAGCAGAAGTCCAGGCAGTTTGTAAGGCTCCATTACACTCCATTACACTGAGCACGTCAAACACCTCAGATAGCCTCCGATAGCTCAGACTGGCTGTTGCTTGCTTGTCAGACTAAAGAAAAAAATTACCAGGCATCTCGTAGCTTTGCTGGCTTATTTGCCGATACGGGGGGGGTAGCTACATGCAGCGTCTACATGCCTGCATCAGCCACACACTTCCTCTCCGTTTCTGCTGGAAACCCCGCCCCCTGTCTACTGCACCACCCTGATCTATAATTTTAGTTACCCAATCAAAAAAATCAATAAGATTAGTTTGGCATGATC